AAGAAGAGTTTGATTACCGTCTGTACCGCTTGACTACTGCCACCACCGCCTGACTGCCGCTATCAGCCACCACCTTCGTCTTTTTCCTCTTCGAATTTTTGACTGATTTTTTTCGTGATTTTATGAGAATAGGTACTGTGAATTTCTGGAGTTGAATGTGAGATGATGGGGAAAATAGAGAATTGGGGGAAATTGAGAAAATGGAGAATTGGGGGAAATTGAGAAAATGGAGTAATTGGGTGAGAAATCTACTGTGAGTCTGTGAGAATGAGTGGAGAACGAAAATGGGTGAGAAAATTGGGTGAGAAGATTGGGTGAGAAAATTGGGGTAAACATCCATCACGTGTTTTTGTTCAAAATTTTGGCGAAAAAATTAGAGGGAATAATGCGCGCTTTATCTAAGCTAAAATTTTCATTTGATATAATACCACCGTTGCAATAGCTTTTATTTTTGTTAAAATAGCTAGGCTATTGCAACGGTTCTTTAGAGCCGTGGCAATAGCTCTACCTCTTAGAGCATTGGTTTTAACTCCGTGGCAATAGCCTACTCTATTGCAACGGCAATAAAAATACCGTTGCAATAGGCTATCTATTGCCACGACATTTGGATAGGGCGTTGCAATAGCTCATTTTGGGGCGTTGTATTTGATCGAAAATGTAGTAGTGCGGAACCTGTAGGATACCATGTAACCTAATAAAAGTATTACTTAAGCCAAATCATATATCAATTTAAACCCAATTTTTACTAAATAAAAATAAAAATAATTGTTATAACTATATGTATTAAATTTGGTAAACAACTATTTTTGGTTTGTTGTATTTGCAAATTGTAAATTTATGACCCTCCAATTTTTTAAAATTTTTTTTTGCAAAAAAGTACAAAATATAGTAAAAGACAGGATACCCTGAATCGGAACTTTTCGGTTCCCATTTTTCAAGAACCTGTTCAACAGGTTTCGGTTCTCATTTTGAGGAACCTATTGCAATAAGTTCTGATTCTAGTTCCATGAAATTTAACAGGGTACCTTATTATGTTCACCCCTACTACTATATATGCTTTTCTTTTCTTAGTTGTTTTTATTTTATGTTCCAGTACTTGGTTGCGGGGTATTTACAATGTCATGGTCCCCCATGATTGCAAATTTTGTGACTTTAAGCATCATGGGTTCTCTTTTGTGACCTGAAACTTTCTCGTTTTTGTTGGCTGCTTGTGTTCACCAGATTGTAATATAATTTAATTTTCCTTTTCGTTAAAAAAAAGAATGGGGAAGTGAAGAAAAAATGGCATGGCTCTGGTTGGGTGAGAGGACGATTTGCCTTACCATTTACCAATAGGCAGTAATCCAGTAGAGCTTCCTAGTATGTCAGGTGACCTTAATTATTGAAAGTTAGAACTCTTATAGTTAGAGTTTAATGGAAAGTTGAAATATGATGATTTGCGTACTTATGTGATACAACAATGGTGTGGAAGAGCGAGCTCGATGATGTTTGTGTCGACCAAATTGTATTGAGTTGTAGTTCTTTTGGGATAACAACCCTCGTCCACCAAGGTAATGGAATGAGTAACATTTTCATTTGCTCCGGGATGTTCAAGGTATCTCAAATTATGTTTGGGAAGCTGCCTCATGGACCAACTTGCACGCTAACCTTTGTGATTTTAATAAAAAAGGGTTACACAACTCTTTGGTTGTGCCTTTCGTTATAAGTATATTCGTGAATCAATGTTGTCATCTATGTTTGAAGGGGAGTAAAAAGTTATTGTCCAACTATTAAAGTACCTAAATTACCCCTAAAAGTTATACTTCTTCTGTTCCAATATTATTGCAACAACTAGACTTTTGCACTATATATTCATTACTCTTATTTGACCATATAATATGATTTATACGTTCAGCAAAATATAGTCATATGGGATCTTGTTAGATTCATCTCATAAAATACTTTCACAATATCAACTTTTTTTTAATTTTTACTCTTATACAATTATAGATATTTAACATATAAAATGTGCTTTTTGATGTGTAATTTCATCCTTGTTACAATATTATTGGAATGGAGGAAGTATAATTTTAATGTAATATTCTAATTAAAGATGTCAATCAAGCTAGAAAATTGAAAAAAAAAATCAAATATTCAATCCATCAATTTTAATAAAAAGGTTTTAAACTTGATATATATAAAGGAAAATAGAAAAATCTAGGTTATCTCCGTGCGATGCACGATTTGAATAAATCTTTCTTGTAATTTATGTTCTATTGCATTACATTATATGAAAATTAGAATTAGATACAAAAGTAATTTAACGTAAAAAAAAAAAAATTAAAACCACGATCAAACGCCAAACAAATTAGGTATGTGAAACTATAATTTAGGAGAGAAACTTGGTTAATTGAATTTTATATAGGCACTTATGCATTGAAGTCAAAAGTGTAGATTAAAATTAAAAATAAAAAAACCATTAATAATTGATGACATCACACATAGAATTGGAAGGAAAATTTTTAATGTGAGAATGACACGTAGAACAGTTTGAGGGTTGATGATGTCAGCAATGTTTTGTTTTAGTAATAGTTAATAGATATATACATACAAAGTATTTTGTTCGATGAAGCATAAGGGAAAAATTGTTAGAGATATGAGATATCGGAAAATATATGTGTGATATATTTTCCGTAGATATCATTAAGAGAATAATATATTTAGGTTTATTTATGTTAGATATTAGTTAGAGAATATATCTTTAGGTTTATGGTTATGTTAGTATATCATTTAGGAAAATTGTTTCCTATCTTATGAGCGTAGCTTTTGTATAAATACTCTACCTATATTATTGATGAATAATAATCAAGCTTTTCTCTTTTCTCTTTCACCTCAAATTTGTCATGGTATCAAGAGCAAGTTAGATATCGGGTGTGTTCATAAAAAAAATTCTCCTGTCGGTGAGTTTAATTTATTAAACCCACCGGTGGGATAAACCGCCAAAAATATATTTTTTTTTTTAATACTTATGCAAGTGAAAGCTCTTTAAGCATCTTAGATAATGTTTGTTGGTGATGACTTGATGTAATTACATCATGCGTAGGGGTGGCAATCTGATCAGGTCGGGTCGACTTCGTGTTTGGGTCAGCTACTTTCGGATCAGCTGACCCTCAACCCGAACCTGATCCATTTAACATTTCGGGTTGAAAACCTCAACCCTAACCTGACAAAAGATATTAGGTTTATTTTTTCGGGTTTGTGATTTGATTCGAATAATATATTTAGGTTTATTTATGTTAAAGACATTAGTTAGAGAATATATCTTTAGGTTTATGGCTATGTTAGTATATCTTTTAGAAAGATTGTTTCCTATTTTATGAGCGTAGATTTTGTATAAATACCCTACCTATTGATAAATAATAATCAAGCCATTCTATTTTCTCTTTCACCTCGAATTTGTCAAAGATGCATTAGATATAGATAGTTGGTGATAGATGGAATATAAATAAATTAAAGAGTATATATTAATTGAGATGAGGAGAAACTAAATTTAAAATTTGATCAATGAAGTTTAAATAATTGATTGGAAATATAAATTTTAATTTTTTTTTGAGGTAGTGTGTAGTCTATATTATATTGTTTGATGAAATTTGTATTCCAGTATTATTTCCCAATGACAAAAGATGGGTACAACTTATTTTTCCTACCTTTGAATTTTCCTACCTTTGAAAGGATTGAAACCAAAGAAAAATATAATGAAGTCACGTCTTAATTAGGCGGGAAAATTTTTCTTATAAAACTGCCACGTGGACAATATGATGTCAGCGATTGCTACTTTAGTCATGTTTATAGAAGATTATATAGCTTGGTATACCGTTAAAGCCAATCCTATTACGTTTATTCTTCTTTTCAAACTAAATTTTATAAATTTTGATTTTCATACATTCGCTAGTTTGATATCTAATCTTCACTATTCGAGAGTTACTCTCATGCTCACAACTACCTAAAGGTCTGACGGCTATTTGCGATACCCATAATCGCTAGGGTTTTTTTTTTTTTTTTTTTTTTTTTTTTCACGATGGTGCCTTGTATTATTGATTTATCCATCAAAATGTATGGAGCAACCTCACATGGACTATGGTTCTCCCATACCTGTTCAACACCAAAAGACACAATTCGGGCTAAATTATGAATCAAAATTAGAGCTAGAACAAAAGAGATCTTCAAGCAATAAATCCAAGTAAGAGAAGTAAATGGTTCCCTTGCAAAGCCTCTCAATAACCACCTGGCAATCTGATTCAAGAATAATGCGAGTGATGTTGTAGCGTCTAGCCAAACGCAATGCCATAGCAGCAGCTTTGCACTCGGAAATAAGAGGCGGCCAATAGGCTTTAACTCTCCTTGAAGCCGCAAACACCACATCCCCCTGGCAATCCCTCGCCATTACTCCGAGGCCAGCCCAACCATCATCTCGAACAGAGGCGTTGCAATTAAGCTTTATTATACCTGACGGTGGTGCACTCGAGGTTTTGGGGCTGCTCTTCTTCTTCCTTACTACAGTCCCATAAATATTTGATGCATAGGAAACACGGTCAACCGCAAGTCGCTTCACTTGATCGATCAAGGAAGGGTGAAAAGTGTCTAGCCCCTTGAATATCTTGTCGTTTCTTCTGTTCCATAATTGCTAGTTTTTCCAACTAGGTTAGTCAGCTAAAATATTAAGGGTGGTATTAACCTATTTAATCCAAGTATCCAATATCTAAATTCAAATCCCATCTACTTGCCATAATAAGTCGTAAACCTTTAAAGGAGGTATCAAAACTTACTCCACTACCCGACCCGTTCTGACGTGAAAAATACCAATTAAGAGTTTGACTCACATAGACATAATAATTTGACATGAGTTAATTTTGAAATAAACTTGACCTAACCTGACACAACTTCATCAAACTGGACCCAAGTATTCGAATTGACACTTGTACAGACTCACATTGGAGCGTTGGATTCCTCCTCAAGAAACCAAAGTCCAAAGACCAAAGCAAAACACTCTTCCCCTAATTCCCCAAATTACCATTGAAAACCCCTCTTTCTCTCCACTATTCCTTTCTTCTTCAACAGGATTCAATTCAACCTCTCTCTCCTCTCTCCTCTCTCACTGCAACAACACTCAGAAACCTCGAAACCCACAACAATGGGTCAAGGACCATCGGGCCTGAATCGCCCACCAAATTCCGGCGACAAAAACCAAAACTCCGACAAGAAAGACAAGAAATTCGAACCCGCCGCACCCCCATCTCGTGTGGGTCGAAAGCAGCGCAAGCAACGAGGCCCAGATGCCGCCGCACGGCTTCCCGTCGTAACCCCACATACCAAATGCAAGTTAAGGCTTCTTAAGCTTGAAAGAGTGAAGGATTACTTGTTAATGGAGGAAGAATTTGTGGCAAATCAAGAAAGATTGAAACCCCAGGAAGAAAAGACCGAGGAAGATCGATCTAAGGTTGATGATATTCGTGGGTCTCCTATGAGTGTTGGGAATTTGGAGGAGTTGATCGATGAGAATCATGCTATTGTTAGTTCTTCTGTTGGGCCTGAGTATTATGTGGGTATTATGTCTTTTGTTGATAAGGATCAATTGGAGCCTGGATGTTCAATTTTGATGCACAATAAGGTAGGGTTTTTTTTTTTTTTTTTTTTTTTTTTTTTTTTTTTTTTTTGGCTTAATTTATTAAATTGTGTTGATTTTGATTTTTGTTGGTGTAATTGTGGATCCAGTGTATTATGGTAAAAGTAGAAGCTTTCAATTTGATGTTACATTAGGTTTTATGTTTTATTAGTTTGCTCCGGAGGCGAGGCGAGGAAGTTAAGGTTGTATGTGAATGCGATTAAGGGGGTTGGGATTTGATATGGCCAAATTGGGTATGAGTTTGAGGGGTGGATGAAATACATTGGTGTGCAAATGTGGGAAAGTTGAGGTGAAAAGCATTTGAGGCGCATACTTATGCTTCTCTTAAGTAAAGTGGACACATTCAGTATGGTGCTGGATTAGAATTTATGTTGTATACTTGTATTAGTTTGCTCAGGAGGTGAGGCGATGGGGGTTGTATCACTTGTATGTGAATGAGACTATGTGTGCATTTGTCAGCCTTAGGGCCTTCACGTGAGGGTAAAGGGTTAACATAAGCTCGGGTCTTAGGGATTGGGATTCAATTTGAGATTGAATATGGCCAAATGGATTTGAATTTGAGGGTTGTTTGAATTATATCAGTGGAGAAACACAGGATAGTCTTAATAAATTTGATTGGTGATTTGAGTGAAAGGAACTCTTTGTTAAGATGCTTTTTAGATTTATGTGATGATTGATTTCTAAGTAAAGGTATTGGTATTTAGCTCCATTCTTATTTATCAGTAAAGATATTTATTTATGTCGTACGAATTATATCATAGGGAGTATGTGCGTTGATCGAGGATCGGACTGGGTGTTGTTATTTCTTTGTCAAATTTGAATTTTCAATGTTCCGAATCATATTTGAGGCTTGGAGTTAGGATTTGGGAACTTCTGTTTGAAACAAACAGTCTAACATATGGTGGAGCGATTGGCTTGCGTAGTTCAGTTAATATTCCAGTTAATGAAAGTTTGTGTTAGTAGTTTTCATTGATATACTAAGCGATGATTTGATGCATCATCTTAGCCTGTAATGCATGTGGTGATGACAATGAGATGGAACTTCATATTATTGGTTTGAGTAGCACAGCTCTTACATTTTCCAAAAAAGAGATGATTTGGAGAATCAGAGTATAGGTAGATGAAACTTTGATGGAATTCTGTTTTAACTTGGCTGCTTTAGCAATAGTAGCTACTTCTCATTACTCTATCTGTCTGATATACTCTTAATGTTGTGACCTTGTTTCTGAATTTGTGTGCGTTGATCATGACGAATTTTCTATTCTAGGTCCTTTCAGTTGTTGGAATTCTCCAAGATGAGGTGGATCCTATGGTGTCTGTCATGAAAGTTGAGAAAGCTCCATTGGAGTCATATGCTGACATTGGTGGGTTGGACCCCCAGATTCAGGAAATCAAAGAAGCAGTAGAACTTCCTCTTACTCATCCCGAGCTGTATGAGGACATTGGAATCAGGCCTCCTAAAGGGGTTATACTGTATGGAGAGCCTGGTACAGGGAAGACTTTGCTGGCCAAGGTAATTTTTATGCCTGACTGTTGTATTATTATGTATGTTTTCTTCAGAGTAGAGATTCTTGTCTAAAAGCTATGACAAAATTTTATTTTCTATGTGCATCTTCTTTCTGTGATTATTTCTAGTCACAAAACTATGTAAGGTGAACAACGCCACTCATGATATTTGTCATTGCCTATTATTGTTTCCTCTCTCCTTTCCTTGAAGTCCTGCCTTTATAAAGTCTCCACATACAAAGTAAAATTTTAGATGTTGTGAATGAGTATTTTATTTCGTAATGCATGGGCTTAAGGTTTCTTTCTTATTGAAATTGAGATGAGATCTGGTCTAAAAGGGTCTTCTTCTCCTGGGAAGAAATGATAAATTCTTTTTTACCAAAATGATGTTGGTATGATTCTCTTGTCTTTCTCTTCTAATAAGAAATATATTGTTTGTTACAAGGGTTGAAATATGGTGTGAGTTTTAAAAAAAAAGCTAGTGTTTCCAAAAAAGCTTGAATTTGTCCCAGCCATAGTTATCTTTCGACACTAAATATTGCCGGTGAATCATGTCTACTGATCTTTAAGGCTTAAAAATCACAATTAAAATCTTTGAGCTTCTGTAATATCATATTTTTCCCAGTGCACACCAATTGAAGAAGACTTCTTAATAAACGAGGAACCAAATTTAAGGGACACTTGGTATCTCGCACCTAACTTTTGGCGTTCTTCATAAGCCATAGCATCTATGAAATCATCAAATAAACTTTGCTACACAAAACATTTTCATCCTGATTTTGTATGATGGCTCTTGATCAATTGTAATTCTTCTCATATATTTCAAAAAGGTTTGTACTAATTGTACTACACAAAGGCAGTTTATCTGGCAAGGCCTAAGCTAGTGAGATGCAACATTGTTTTTTATTAAAGCTAAATGTATGTTATCTAATAAGACTTGGCCTTCAGTAAGCAAATGTTAAAGAGGGAAGGTTTTGTTTTTTGGGGTTTGGGGTGATTGAGGCATTGGATCGTAGGGGATGGAGGAGGAAGATTTGTGTCGATGACTACATGGAATTATCAAATTTGGTTTATGTAGCCGACCCCACTTATGGGATTAAGGCCTTGATTGATTGATTGATTGGGTTTGTGGTGATTAGTGGGGAAGGTGGTAAGGATGATCTTATATGGATTGAGCTACTTAATAAAATTATTTAAGTTAGGTGGGTTATTATGTGGGAAAGTAAGGATGAAATTATCATACAAGTGTGTAAAAGCTATTAAATAAGGATGTGTTGCGGCTTTTGGAAACATCATAAATAGGCAAGTGTTGCATTTATATGCAAGTAGAGGAAACAATTATTATAGCCCCTGTTGTCCCCAACATCGCACGTTTTCTAAAATAATTTTTAATATCTAGATTTTATTTGTGTTGGAGTTTGGGGGATAGTAGAGATGTTGTGTGTATAAGTGTATTTTTTAAAGAATGCAGTGAGGTAGGTCTCTTGGATTATCTTTTAAATGAGGTGTCTAAAATCTAAATTAATTTCATAAGGATTGATATCTCATTGATATGCTCAACATGTAACCTAGGCTTATTCCTTAATTGGTATAGAATTCAAGACGTAGGGGTAGTTTTAAATCACTATCTATCATCTAAGGGTCATCTTGGTATGTTCATCATCTGTTTGCTTTGGAAATTGGTGGCTATGGGTTTTAATTTAAGTTTGAAAGTTGTGGCTAAAATGTCAGGTGGCATATGGATGATTCAAAGTTTGTTCAGGGAGATGGAGGAAGTAGATGTTAGTGTTTGAAGTAGATGCAAGATTTAATGATGAGTGAAGATACAATGACTTAAAAAGACAGGAAGATAGTTTCTTTAAGGTTACTATAGAGATCATGTAGGATGAGAGGAACATGCCACAGGAGATCTAAGTGAAGTAGCTGAAGAAGTTACTTCCTCCCTTATTAAATATTAAAACATGTGGTGGATGCACCACAGCCTCACACACATTATTTCTTGTCATTTAGGGCTCTATCCCTGGAATTTCTAGCACGTGGTCTAATATATTATTCTTTTCAATCACATTGTTTAGCAATCATCAACCAACACATTAGCCATAATACTTACTGAATTTAGAGACCTGGATCAGAGCACCTTGGACAACCAAGCCTATTCAACTAAAGAGCCTTTTTTTTTTTGAATAATTTTACACTAGTGAGGAGACTGTTAGATATAAGTTTTAATCTTAATAAAATGATCTTTCTAAGCAAGGAAGGTGATGAAATGACATTCATAATTTACCAGGTTTATCACTCTTGAAACAAACTTTTGGGAAACCTCAACTAATCAGCTTACCCCCACATTTATAGAAAATGGCAGCATGAAGGTTTATGATAAAGGGAGCTTAGTTTGTGAATGATAAAGTGGAGAATTAAAATTTTTGGGCAGGTAGATCATCTATATATTACCAAAAGTTCTAGTAAATTGGCAGTTTAGTAGTAGTTTTGTACAAGTTCTTATCTATCCACAGCAAGTATATTTCTCCTCTCTCATATCATATGTGCAGAAAGTACCTTGTGCCTTGACCTTGATCAAAGGCGTCATCTGGAGTGCGCCTTGGCTAGTCTTTTTAACTAGTGCACTGCCTGGCGCTTTTTTTTTTCCCCCCAGCTCTCTGCCTTTCCTAGCTCCTAGGCACATGTTTTGGGATTGGGCATGCATTTTAGAACTATGGGCTATCTGGATCTTGAATCAGCATGGGTGGTTTTTCTCATTACTTTTTGTCTTTTCCCTTAGCTCCTCTATGTTGGCCAAACAGCTTTGAGTTCTTTGTCCTCTCCTCTTTTCAACCTTGCTTGGAATCTTATGCTCTTGATTTGCTGACTACTTGCTTCTTAAGTGACTAATTGTCTGCACCCCTTGTCATGCCTCATGCTTTTAATATTGTTTGGAGAATGTCCTTCATTGCAATTTGATGTTGTTGCTTACTGTTCGAATAGGTAGCTCAAGGTTTTTCAAAATTGTTTGGTTTGTTTGGGAGTTGGTTGTTGTAGTTACTGATAAGTGTTCTCTTTGGAGATTTTGGTGTTATCTGTATGAATGAGAAATGTAGGAAAATTCCTTGGAGATTGATACTTATAGCCGTCATAGTGATGAAAATCTTGGTCATTTAGTGGCAGTAGTACACACACTCTTTTTAATCTCAAAATTTGGAGATACCTTGTGGAAATTACAGACTGTGTTGGTGGCCATGGATAAGCCTCATTGAGCATAGGCTTCTGCTGGCTCTTAAATGATTGGAGGCAATATTTGTTGTCATGAGTATGGGCTGATTTAGAGTTACGGGAAGGGCTATAGCCTATAGGTGGGACTTGGGAGGTAGTAAGAAGCATTTCCTTGAATTTGTCCCAGCCATAGTTATCTTTCTGACACTAAATATTACCGGTGAATCATGTCTACTGATCTTTGAGGCTTAAAAATCACTTCAAAAATCTTTGGGCTTCTGTAATATCATATTTTCCCCAGATTTATGCTCTTATGAAATTTATGGCCAAGTTGTTGAATCATCGATAAGACATAGTGCAAATTTGGCTAAATGGCCAAAATATATGGCACTGTTTGGTTTTTGAGTTGCCATGATTCTCTTTGATAATTGGAGTTTGTGGTTTATACAATTTTTTAGCTACCTAGTAACTGTATGTAACTCTGTATGTAATAAATTCAATTGTGTCAGATGTTTGGGAAGGAACTATTCTCAAAATCCTTTTGTTGAAGAGATATACTTTATAACTCTTAATTATCTTGCATCACAAAATTAGATGACATCATTTCTCTTATTTATGATTTCGTCCTTTGCTGTGATAATTATGATGGATGTTTTCTTGTCTAGGCTGTAGCAAATTCAACTTCAGCCACATTTTTGCGTGTCGTTGGAAGTGAATTGATTCAGAAATACTTGGGTGATGGTCCCAAATTAGTAAGGGAACTATTTAGGGTTGCGGATGAACTTTCACCATCAATTGTTTTCATTGATGAGATTGATGCAGTGGGAACAAAGAGGTACATGTCATTCCTGGTTTATCTAGTGCTGTAAAATCAGTTGGTAATCATATCTACTGTTTTTTTCCCTAAATTTTGTTGGTTTTTCATTTGATCAATTCTGCAGGTATGATGCTCACTCAGGCGGTGAGCGTGAGATTCAGAGGACTATGCTGGAGTTGCTGAACCAATTAGATGGATTTGATTCTAGAGGAGATGTGAAAGTCATACTTGCAACTAATAAAATTGAAAGTCTTGACCCAGCATTGCTTCGTCCTGGGCGAATAGATAGAAAGATTGAATTTCCTCTGCCAGATATTAAAACCAGGAGACGCATTTTCACGGTACTTGTCTAAACCAAGAAAATGTTCATCTGTATTTAACATAATGTCTTTATGTATTGGTAGCCTGTAACGTGTAATCACAACTGTGTTTGCTTCTAACATAGATCCATACGTCAAAGATGACATTGGCTGAAGATGTCAATTTAGAAGAGTTTGTGATGACAAAGGATGAGTTTTCTGGAGCAGACATTAAAGCAATCTGCACAGAGGCTGGGTTGCTTGCTTTAAGAGAACGGCGTATGAAGGTAATGCTTTTATACTCTTTTTGGTGAACGAATACTTCTGCTTTTGGTGTGTTGTCTGGGACTCTGGGAAATTATTGAACCTGTCAGTTTTCTCAAATGGATGAATCTCATTGTCTGTTGAAATGTAGCTGTAGTGCTCTGTGATTGGTCATTGGTTGACCATTTTGGGTAGGTGGTGATAAATGACTAAATTATGGTAATTGTACTTAATTGATATGTTTTTTGCAAGTCCCATGCCAATGTCCATGGCAATGCAACTATCCCCCCATGACCACTTGTTAGTCATTACCATATTTAGAGGAGTTGGGTGCTAATGAAAATTCGTGAAGAACTGGTACTAATTAGATGTAGAAGCATCACCATGAACATTGCCATTAGACTCCGAAAATTACTTATGTCGATGTACTCCTAACCAATTTTTACTGCCTATCAAACGGGCCATAAGTGCTTCTATTTTATGTATTTAATTGTCACTGGCCTGGTTCATGTAGCATTTGTTGAATAGGTTCTAATATCTTAATTTGGGTTTAGTGTTATTATGACAAGGAACTATACAGGTGTGGCTATAGTAAAAAATTTGAAATTCTTCTTTTAACGGGTCATATTCTTGTACATAATTCTGTGCTGCGATTCATGTAACGCTCAATAAGGTTGCTGATTAGTACATATGTTATGGTTCAGGTAACCCATGGTGACTTTAAGAAAGCCAAGGAAAAGGTGATGTACAAGAAGAAAGAAGGTGTTCCAGAAGGGCTTTACATGTAGAGTTGTTTCTGGAAATATTATTTCACAATTTATGGTAACGTCCAGCTGTTACCGAGTTTCATCGTTATTACACCATTATTTTTTTTTTTCTCGATACATTGCAATGTTTTTAAATAGATTATTAACTCTCATTTAGATGAAATTGACATTCGTAAAATCAGCTGATTGTTATACCATTTGAAATGTACAAATTTTCTTAAGACAGATTTTTTAGCATCATAATGCTCATCTTCTACGGCAGATCTCTCAGTGGTTCTTTTACTATGATTTTTTTAGATGTTTCTCAACATGAACCGTGAACGAGGGGTGCAAGACACGTGCTACATCAGTGTACTGTTTTTGGACATTTTCCCATTTCCTTCTTCCTCTTTCGTCTTCTACCTTATATCTCCAGCCATAACCAACCAACCTCCATCTTCTTTCTCCAATCCCAACCCATGACCACCTCCATTGAGGCTGCTCAGGCTTTTCTCTTGTTAATCACCAATTCTACCACCATATTTTCGGCGGCGCCAAATTTAAGTAAAACCCTAAAAAAAAATGGTGAAAAAATGGCATAGTTAACCCCAAAGGGTAATGATATCATCCTACTCCATTGACGAACCTTGTCATGTTCATTTTTTCCATTGAAGTTTCCTTGTTTTTACATTGGCGTTCTTCATTTCCGTTGAAGCCTTGGATCTGTTTTTCCTTGAAAATTCAGGGTTTTTTTTTTTTTTTTTTTTTTTTTTTTTTTTTTTTTTTTTTTTTTTTTATAAAATACAAAACTAGTATTTAGCCTGTGTGATGCACGGGTTAATCTTGTTGGCTAAATAAAAAGTATATGTTTTTCAATTAAAGAATTTTACTAATGTGTGTTTAAATTGTTCTTAGGTTTTTTTAAAATCAAAACATATGTAAATATAAATTATATTGTATTTTGTTAGTAACATAAAATACTATGTAAATGTAATGCGATATATTCTAATCTAAAAATAAATTACATCATATCATATGTAAGAAATACAAATTGCATCAAGCAAAAAAACCATCTACTAATACATACAGGTTTAACCCAAACCCAATGTACATGTGATGAAAAACATTAGCTAGCCTACCTACATATGGATGCATTAAATGATAAATTGATAAATACAAAATAATTTATAAAAAATCATTAAACATTAATCAAACATTAATACTTCTGATTAAGATTTTTATTATTTATGTTATTTTAGTTAATATCAAAAAACACTATTCTTTCAAAAAAGAAACAGTATGAGAGTACAATGAAAATAAAATTATTTGTACAAAACTAATCATATGAAATTCTTATTAAATGCTTCGAATTGTCTCTTCACAAAATTGATATATTGTAGTTTTCGTCCAAATATATTGTTCCCTTTTTTTTTCTAATAAATATTGTTCCTTTGTTGAATATTGAATTTTTCATCTACAAACACATAAAATCACCAAATAAATCAAATCAACATTACTTAAAAGAAATAGAAAACTGAAAATAGAAAAGAAAATCAAAATCGATTATCAAAGAAAAAAATATATAGTGGAATAGAATGTAAAATTTAGAAAAAGATTTTACAAAAAAAAAAATAAACCTTAATATAGAGTCTAGCTAATGTGCAACCGAACCTTTTGAACATTAAAAATAGGAACTCGTAATTTTATTATATAATGAAAGTACAATGTAGCATCAAGGAAAGAATACAAATAACTAATCAGCCACATGAAAAACATCATGTTAGCAATAAGTGGAAATAACAATTTAAAAACGTAATTAAAATTAGATCAAATAAAAAATTGTTTTGCAAATCTAGTTCAAATTTACAAAAACAGTACTAAAAACACAATAAACGAAAATCATAGACAAAAATGAAGTAAAAAAATAAATATAAATTTAAATTGAGATCTTAAAAAATGAAAAGGAAATATATAACAAAAAAAAAATCTTGAAAATAGAATTATAAAAACTCGATCTTTAAACATTGTAAAAGAAAATTAATTATGCAAATCTTTTATTAAATCCAAACAAAATATTGATACACAATTCTTCTTAAAAAAACGATTAAACACCGCTCATCCAAGAATTCAAAAACAAATTTCAGAAAAAAAAAGAAAAATATTAAAATCCTACATAAACTTAATAAAAATCGAGATCTGAAAAGGAGTGACACATGATAAAATTTAAAAATATTAAAATTCATAATAAAATTATCTGTGAACATTGAAAAAGGAAAAAAAAATGTTTTATAAAAATCTAGACAAAATTCTAAAGTGCAATTTGTTAAAAAATGATTAAATACCAAAGCAACAAAAAGTGAAAAGAAATTTGAAAAAAAAAACGAATTATAAATAAAGTTGAGAAAATGTACGGTTGATTGCTCCCTTAAATTCAATACTGCTATTATTTTTTGAAGTTTGTATACATTTTGACAATATATATATTTTTTTAATTACTTAATATAAATTATATATTTAGGATGAAAGAGAGAAATGGTAGAGTTAGGGTAAATAGAGAAAGCGTAAAAAGTTAGGGAGGGGGAAGATAAACTGTTATTAATTTTTTAGTGTGATTGAAAATTTATATATATAATGCAAGTTAGTGAAACCCAAGAGACACAAATGAAAATTGATATCTTTTTTTTGAGGGTATTGAATCGTTTAGGAGATTTTTTTATTTTATTTTATTTATTTATTTTTTTTTTAGTTGAAACAATAGGAAAAAAAAAATCATAAACGCCGGAAGAGGACAAGTGTCCTTTAAATTTCTTGTTTTAAAAGATTAGTATAGATTTGTAAATTCGGTCGGAAGAGATGTTTTATTGAATTTCAGTTTTAATAATATATATATATATACACACACATTTGTGATCCAATAAATTATTTTCTTGAATAGGCATGATTAAGGGATTGAGATGAAAGAGATGTAGAAGAGATTTTTGATAATATTCTAAATAAAATTTCCGTAACATTTAAACGACGCCCTTAATTTACCAGGTAACGCCCGCATCTAAATATGAATGGACAAACTTGCGTGTATTCCATGTTTTCTTCCCCTGGCCTTTAACTCAATCTAACATTCTTTCCTTCCAACAAACCACTACCTACTGAGGGCAAGGTCATCGAACACATTGTCGAAGTTAAAGTCGTTCTTTTTAGGGTGGAGGCCAAACGCCAATTTTTTTCAAAACTGTAGGGGAGAAATGCCTAGAACTTTCAAAAGTCCCTGGGAGATTCAAAATATCTAGGCGTTTCTCCCCTAGAATTTTCCAGATTATTTTGCATTTTTTATTTTAGTCATAACTTTTGATCCCAAACTCGGATTAAAACAAATAATATGTTGTTGGAAAGCTCTGAAAGTCTACTTTCCAACCCAATTAGAATCAGGTCAATATCATCTCTAGATCTTAAGATATAGCTAAAATACTAAGTTTGGTCCAAAATCAATACCCTTGCACTATTTCAACCATATCTTAAGATTTATAAATGATATTGACTTGACTTAAATTGGGTTAAAAAGTAGACTTCTAGAGCTTTCCAACAATATATTGTTTGTCTTAATCCGAGTTTGGGATCAAAAGTTATGTTAAAAACAAAAAACGTAAAAAAAACTGGAAAATTCTAGGGGGAAACGCCTAGAATTTTCAAATCTCGTAGGGAAGTCTGAAAATTCTAGGCGTTTCTCCCCTAGAGTTTTGAAAAAATTAGGCGTTTGGCCTCCATTAAAAAAAAACGATTTTAACTCCGACGATGTGTCCGATGACCTTGCCCTTGGTCGGTGGTGGTTTGTTGGGAGGAGAGAATGTTAAATTAAGTTAGACTCCAGGGAAAAAATACATGGAATACACGCGACGATATGTCTGTCCATTCATGTTTAAATGCGAGTGTTACCTGGTAAAATAAGGGCATCGTTTAGATTGTTACTTTATTATTCTTTACCACTATATTTTTTAATTTTATTTAAATTATTATCGTTGGACATAATTTCTAAATATAAGGCCAAAACTTCTCCCTAAGATATAGTAACAAACTTTTTTCAATAAAATAAAATTAAAAAATAATAAATAAATAAAAAAAAAATAGAAAACTTTTTTTATGAGGTGATAACACGTGTATTTAGGAGATAATTATGGGAATTAATTACTTTAGTATATAAGTATAGATTCTAATAGAATTTAAAACTCTCTTGCTTACCTTGTGCTTCTATTACCTTTTGTTATCCTGGTTGCTTTTTAGTTTTCACAGTTCAATTTATGATTTGACCGCTAACATTCACATCTTACATACTAGTAAAGATGATGTTAACGTTGTTTGAAAAAAAAAAGATGTTATCGTTAATTTATTTCAGTACACATTGAAATAATTCAAATAAGAAAGATGTTTCAAAAAATTTTATTATCATTGAATAATCGAGATGATTCAAAATTTAATAGAGCGAACTTTATTCAAATTCTTCTTCAAAATTTATTAGAGGGAGTACACTTTATTCAAAAAGAGATACGCAGGTTTACATATTTACATATGTATCCCTAACTAACTATATACAACCTCAAAATATACTATAGTGTACATTTGATATTATTAATATTATTACATAGTAGAAAAATAAATACGCTATATATTTATTATTCTACTGTATATATATTTATTTAATAAAGATAAAAATCCTTAATTCATAGTTCCTTGTTTATCACCTTTAACTGGAGTACCATTTTGATCTTTTCCGGGGTTTTTTTTACAACGAGTATCCTTTTCACATCCTCGATTAAATTTGTTAGCAGGACCACCAAGTTGTTGATTACCTTTTCCGTAAATTTTATCTCCTTTTCTAATTGCACCATATGATACAAAATTATTTGCTTCACATATTATTGAACTAAATAACACCATTCCTATGATTATTGCAACTAAATTCTTTCTTGAGATACCCATTTTGTAGATTTTGCTACTTCTTTTTTTGTAGATTATGAGATGAAATTTAGATGCTTGTGTTTTTGAGAATCTTTTATTTATTACTAGGATGAAAAGGATTTTCAATTTATAATGGAAGTTTGTAAGTTAATTACGGCGTTGTGGAGTAAGAAATGAGGTGAAGCAATTTATTCGTTAATGCATAACCTAAATTTATGCGATTTTTATCTTTAACTTAGTCATGGAAACAGAGTTAGCTAAAATAAGTGTTATCTAAAATATGTTTTATCTAAAATATTTTGAATGGTATATATTTAGCTAAGGCTCTTTTT